ACAAGGGCGGATCCAGGAATGAGGAGTGGGGTGGGCTAAGCAGTAAAAAAAAAATTATTGCACACAAAGAGTTTAACTTAGGGTTGTTATCCAACCGAGCTTTTCTCAAACTACTCGAGTTCGAGCGTGATTTCGAATTTAATTTAACGTCCCGAGCTTCACGAGTTTCGAAATCAAACATGGGCTAGATCAGCGCAAGTCACCGGCGGGTTTAGGGATGCCAGCATCCATCCCCTTCGGGACCTTGGAGGATTTCTTCTTCTTAAGGCCAGCAAGCCCTCTGACGTTCATCATATTGACCGGGATACCTGCAACACAGTGTGGGGTTAGGCCGACGGGTCATTAACAGATGGCATAGAAGTACAAAAAAAAACAACAAACTATGTGCTAAAATACGAAAATAAGGGTGCCCTCAGCTGCTACCTCCGGAGGCTCCCTCAAATGCCGGGAACTTTTCATCCGTTTCCCCCAGGAAGCGATACCGCCAGAACCCGAGGGTGTAGAGGTCCTCCTCTTGAGTGCACTCCTTGATGGCTATATTCTTATCCCGGCCCTCCGGGATCTTGGCCAGGATTCTCCCATCCTTCTCGAGGGCGGCGCTTCTCACTTTCTCGTGCCTTCTGAACCGGTCACGAAGTTCCCTCGGGAAGAGGCTCTCGGCTAACTTTATGAAGCACCACCGGTCTTTCCACCCTTTGTTTGAGGAGGGCGCCTCAGTAAACAGTTTGAACAAGGCCACCTGTTGCAAATTCGCGAAGCCCTCGGCATTCGCATGCCCCCCCGACACAGATTAAAACTTTGAAAGAAGAGGTCCAGGCTAGGCGTTACCCCCCGGGATTTGTAGAGATGGAGGAAGCTCGCGATGTAGGAATGGCTGTTCGGCGTCAGTTGGCAGGGGACCAAACCCACGAACCGAAGGTATTCCCGAAGGAATGGGTGTAGGGGGAACCGGAGCCCCATCGATACGGAGAGGATGTGCACTGCAATGCAGCCCTCGGGAGCCCGGGAGAGGACGTCATCGGGACCCGGCGCCACCACTACGGCCGAGGGACCCACGTGTAACTGGGTGACATAGAGATCCGCCTCATCAGCTTTCGACCTTATCTCTAAGGCGGCGGTATTCAAGTAGGAATACCCCTCGGGCATATCGAGGAGCTTCCCTTGGTCTGCGACGCTGCCTTTCTTCCTGGAAGCAGCAACCTTCGCCTTCTTTTTTTCGGGGGCCACCCGGATGGGAACCGCATTCAACGGTCGAGAGGTGCTGGCCTCACCAGTGCCCCGAGGGGGGAGAACAACTATGGTGACCCTCGCGCCCTCTTTCTGCGCCTCTTCCTCAGCTACTTGCCAGGCGAGGGCCAGCTATTCGTCCTCGCATTCTTGTTCGAAGCCCTCGGCTTCCACCTCGGCGACGAGGGCTTTCTGCAGCTCCATCGCTACGACAGCGTCTTGTCCCACTGAGGGCTGCTCACTTGTGGACTCCACGTCCGAGATGATCTCCTCCTCCATCGAGGGCGGCCTCGAGATATCCTGAGAGTCGCTTTGCGAAGACATCCTCAACAGCTGAAGGGATGAGGGGTTTCTAAGGCAGGAGGCTTCCTAAGGCAGTTAAGCACTTAACCTAAGGCCACACAACTACGACTTACTAATGCTACAACAGATGGGCGGAGAACTGACCTCGGAAGATTGATTGATCGAAGGCAGCTGTTTCTCTCTCTAGGAATTTGGGCAGAGCGTCGCTACAATGATATCGCACAAGAGCAAAGCGGCCTGGCCATGGGGTATTTATAGGCGCCTGGATCCGGGCTTGGGCCTGGAAACCGGGCCTCCGGTTGAACTGCCATCATTACGAACCGTCGAACTGACCAATCAGTAACGCCCGCCCACAGGCAGCCAACAAGCACGCACCACGTGGAAGCCCCCCCCCCCCCCAACGGCTATATTTTGACGTTAGATATTCCAACGGCTATATTTCCAACGGTTATATTCTGGGAGCCTCCGGTTAAATTCAGCAGCCCACTCCTTCATCAACCAAGGAACTAGCCCCCGGGCTTTTTACTTCACTCCACTTCATCAAGAAGAGCCCCCGGGTACACTTACCCAGAGACGCTCTCGGTTTGTGCCCCACACACTACATAACAAATGCCTTCGGGCTCACTCCTTCAGAAGCCCACGGCTTCATAATAGGCCCACCCCTCGGGGATCCCCCCTCAGCACTTTGAGGGCCGGGTAGCCCCCGGGGAGTACGTCTCATTGACGGATAGCCAACGACACACAGGTAACGGGAGCCCTCGGATACCCTCCTCACCAACTAATCAACAAACAGGGGACACCCTGGTAACACTTCAACTACTACTCGCATTCATTACATCCTCGATCCCCAGGTTGAGGGACTCCCCTTCGGCACCTCCCAGGATATCAACAGCAAGCCTCCGGCTAATCAACACATGAGCCCTCAGAACAAGGATAGCCTTCGGCATCAGCATTATACTCCATTTCGAACCAGGGCTTCACGTTTTCGATTCATCGTTGGGGGAATTCGGTGCACTCTTTTTCCCTCATTAGGATTTTTTCCCACAGGATTTTTCCTAATGAGGTTTTTAACGAGGCATCCCCCCAAAATGAAACGAAAAGCGTCAGCCTTCGGCCCGAAACAGCAACATGATTACTCTACTCCTTTTCACCACTTTGCAAGTGTCTCAAGGAGTGGGGGACTAGAGAACCCCCTCAGGAAAAATCACAAAAATCACAAACATGACCCCTCAAGTCCCGACATGTGGGTAACTGAGGGACTGCCCTCGGCAGAATAAACAAACATCAAACTTCCAACAACTCTACAAACTACAAACAACGGCGGAGGACGAACACAATTACTCCTTTTCCCTCAAGTACCTTTCGGAAAAAGGAGTGAGGGACTCCTGATGGAGTATATGGATCGGGAACCCCCGGTCCACATACTCCTACTACTCCAATAAAGGCCCAATAGGCCCAGGAAGCACAACAAGCCTAAATCACGGCGCCCAGGGTACCAAGCAGCCCACAATGCGCACCAGGGGTGCCTTCGCCCCCCTGGCCGAAGGCTCTGAACCTCACAAAAGGGCCAAAACAGGAAGACAAGGTTACTGGGAGAAAACGGCAAAAATCAATAGCCCTCGGCACTAAGGGGGTCCCCGGCACTCAGAGCCCTCGGCTTACCACCTACAGCCGAGGACACCTTTTCCGACATGATATCCGCTCCACATGCGTATAGATCACCGTACCAAGTACGACGTCACATCCAACAGCCGCATTTAATGCGGCCACATGCGGTTGCTAGCGCCAGCCAGTTGAGGTGACCCCTCGGCCAATGGGTGCTTGACACGTGTCCCTGTCTGGCATTTATTGCTACTATAAATAGCACCCCATTTCCCCATTTGTAACCAAGACACAACACGCTGAAAACACTGAATACATTTCTATTACACTCTCTCTCTCTCTCTCTACTTACTTGCTCTGACTTCTCTCTAGTTATTCCCCGTAATAACCCCTCGGATAGGCTACCCCCCGGGTACACTATCCATCAACGGTTTATTTGATGGTTTTTTGTTTTCCCTTGCCCTTGTAATTCGGTCTTTCGACCTGTTTGTATTCTCGGTGTGGCTTGTTATTATGACCATTAAAATGCCAACGTTTAAAATCCCTTCTACCGTCTGTGTGTTGCATTTGATTTGGTGGCTAAATTATGACCAGATGGACCATAAACTGAAGGACTAGACCCAATGGGTCTCATATTGTGATTTTTTATCAATAGGTCATTATTTTGCTCAACTACCAATAATACTGATATTAAGTGAGAGTATTTTTTAAAACCCTTTTCCTATAATGTTGGTGTAGCAACATATTAGAAATATGCATGGTAAAAAAGGTTTTCTCCAACATACCATCATCAGTGATTTTTTGTCCACATAACTTTAATTTGTGTGTTGTTTGGAACATAGCAGAATTATAGTCACTGATAGATTTAAAGTCCTTGAATTTTAGATTGATCCAGTCATACCAAGATTTTGGTAAAAGTACTTTTTGTTTGGTGGTCATACCTCTCCTGTAAATTATCACATACTTCCTCCATTCTTTTTAGGTTGCAACATTCCATATATTTAATTCTCTATATTAGTAAAAAACTTTTAAAAATCAGATTATGAAACTTTGTAATGAGACGAATTCAACAATATTTTTCAAAAAAAAATAATTCACATACATTAATAAATAAAATTTAGTCAAAGTAAAGTGCATGAATAATGTGTAAATTCTAATGTTGCAACTATTATGATACGGAGGATAGTAATTCTTTTGGATCATCAACCAAAGGACATTCATATTTGAGACTTTCATGAAGATGGTGATTACTGAATATTTTGAGCAGATTCGTGCTGATAATATGTTGTGAAATGAAGAAGATGCCAAATAGATTTAAGAGAGAAATATTAATAATGAGCTCTAGCTATTTTTCTTCTTAATATGAAAATTTCTGAGTTAATTTACAAGGTTTCATCAGACTCCTATTTATAATGTTTAAGCTTGATAATTAATCATATAAAGGATGAATCTACTGATTTGATGGCAGTAACAAATGTTCTAACTAGATCACAAGGATCATTACAAGAATAAAGAGTAGCTTGATGTCTTAATAAGGATGAACAATTAACACTAAATTTTACTACTTTGATGATAATTTAGATGATGCATGTGAATGAAAATAATATTTTATGGAAGGTTTTTAACTTTTAATATATCTCATGTACTTGATACTTTTTGTACTTTTGTGTGACAGAAAGCATATTTTTATACGTAGTCTTCTAGATCTAGATAAAATTAACCTAAAGAAAATTGAATTTGAAATGAACGGATATATGAAATGACTTCTGGTTTAAAATCAGTTTCTGTTTTTATCCTTTTGCCATATCCTTTTTGTTTTCAAATTTATTTTTTATTTCCCACCTATGTCCATATTTTATTTTCATACCTTTTAGGGTTCCAAAGGATTTATCATTCATTGTTCCAAAAGGATTGTGCACAATTCAAAGAATAAGCATGCCAAGGAATGGAAAAAGAAGAGAACATTATACATGAATGGACTATGAATTGGAGTGCCAAAATTATTTTAATTTTGGTAGATATATGAGCCAACATATTTTACAAATTACTTAATAGAAAAGGGAGCGTAATCTAAAACAAGAAGATGAAGACTTGTTTATCGCAGCCTCAAATTTTTCATCGGTTTGACTTTCGTTGACCAAGACCACTCTGCCATCCGCTTTCAGCAACCGCTCCAGAGTTTCCGGACTCGAACCCGACTGCGGCGGCGGCGAAATCTCGCCTCTGCTCAGCTCCGTTCTCTGACTCTGACTCAATATCTCCTCCGCCTCTTCTTTTACGTCCTCGATCCCAAGCAGCGGTTTATCACGACTCCTCGCCGCCGGGAGCTCGCAATCTTCGCGTGGAGGGGTCAATGCTTCATCCCTGAGCTCCGATCCCTTGAGTATATATTCATGGTCGTGAGTTGGGTATATCAAATCATCTTCCTCCAGATCTTGCCACACGAATCCGTTCTTATATCTCCTAAAATTAAGCTCAAAGGTTTGGCCATTCAGATCCAATCTCATAAATCTGTAAACAAGGTGAAATTGAAGATAAGGGAAGTTCACCTTTTCGCCGACCATGAATATAGTGAAGCGATTCCCCTTCCTCGGAGGGAATTCAAGCGGCCGATCACATCTGAGTTCAAAATATATTTAGTAAGAGATTCAATTGAAGGATTCTTACTGAAACACGAATATCATCGTGAAACCGGAAACCAGAAGCTAGAAACGCCGACTTTTTCTCAAAAAACTTTGGAGAGTTTTCAAAGAGTTTGCGTAGAGTTTTCTAAACAGAAACATACTAGAGTTTCCGTGCTAGATTTGATTACCTTTGAGATAGAGACCTTGAGAGGAAGAAAAGGGGACCTCCATGAAATGGGGGTGTTGGAGTTGGCCGTTTCGAGAGAGGTAGTAGACGACGGCGGCGACGCGGCGATCCGGATTATCTCGGGGCTCCGACCAGACTTGGGGTTGCTCCGGGCTTATATCTTCCCATCTTCTTGATATTTGGAGCTCTGTTCGAATCTGTGATCTCGCCGCCATTGCTGATTTTCCAAAGCTTCACTTATACCTTTATATATTTACTCCATCCCCTGTTTCTCTCTGTTCATAATTAAGACTAAGCTAGCCATGGATTATGCTATTTAACTTCACGGAAATTTCCAAATATATAAAAATATGTGTCAGCATTATTGAAATCCAAATGTTGCTTCACCGACATGGAAATGACTATTTTTTGTTTGTTTTTTTTAATATCGTTCACAAGGTTTTTGTCTTGTAGAGAAGCTCCGGAAACACCAAGAATATTATCATCTCCATACGGACCATACCAAGATATACTCCAATGAATGGAACCAATAAAAATCATATCTGTCAACAATGGGTCTCGAAATAGAATGAATACGGAGTATTAGCAAGCATTTAACGTGGAGCTATTTTTCTTGTTAAAGCGCATAATGTCAAACGACATTTATACGTCTATAGAAAATCATCGATCTAATACTTGTTGAGATCCAACACTAACCTTGGATTTAGGGTTGGATTGCTACAGTAACGTGTATAAAAGAAATACTTCCCCCGTCCTGAAATAATTGTCCTTCTTTGATCTTCACGCAGATTAAGAAAATGAAATTTAGTTCACACTATAGCGACACTGTTTGGCACTGTAGCGACACTGTTTGGCACTGTATTGCACTGTTTGATACTATTTTGTAGAGATTTGTTTACCAAATAAGGAAAGTTTCAAAGTAGGACAATTATTTTGGGAAATTCATTTTGGGAAAGCAGAACATTTATTTCGGGACAGAGAGAGTATAAAAACTGATAGATTCACACAAATAGTCTTGTAAGGAATAAATGTATTTAGATTTTGATGATATTAGGTTGATTAGAATTTTAAAGTACCTCATTAGCAATTTTGTATTAGAAATTTTCTTTGTAAGTATTAGCATAGTCGACTGACCAGAGACCCTCTTGGACTTTCTGATCAGAGCTGCTCATCAGAGTTGCTCCCAGAGTTGCTCATCAGAGAAGCCACTAGAGTTGGGTACCAGAGTTGGCATCAGAGGCAGACATCAGAGTTTCAACAAGAGAGCCCCATTAGACTTGCTGGTACTTAGCAGTATTCAAAGGTACATTCCAACGGCCGTGAAACTAACGGGAAATACCCTAACGGCTAGGGCTGAGAAAAACCGATCCTACCCGAATAACCCGATCGGGTGAACCCGATTTTTTGTGATTGGGTCGGTTGACCCGACCCGAACCCAGCGACCCGACCCGCCCACCCTATACTTTTTGGGCCGACACCCAGCGGGTAGGGTCCTCCTAATCCCTACCCGAACCGCCCGAAAACCCGACCAAGCCTAAGCCCATTACCCAACTCCCCAACTACCCAAGCCTATAAGGCCATTACCCAACTCCCCAAGCCCATTAGCCCACTCCCTTAGTCCCTTTCTGGCTTTCCCTTATCCCCATTTCCCTTCACCGGTTAACCACTTAACCCTAACTTACACTCTCAGACTCTCTCTCTCTAACTCTCTAAGCGGCTAACCCTAATTTGGACTGACTTCTCACTTCGTCGGTCGCCGTTGCCATCATTGTAGGGCTGTAGGCCTGTAGTCCTCAACCGAGTGGAAGCCTTCATCTCCTTGTAGGGTTTACCGTCTCTACTCTCTAACCTAGTGGAAGCCTTTCATCTCCTTCGTCTCGAGCCGTTGAGGTATAAAATACTTATTCCGTTATTCGTATTATGGTAAGTTTAGTCCTTGATGAATGATGATGCATGGATGTTCTGAGTTGTGATTAGTCTTGTGATGTTCGTATATTTGTGAAACTTGCATGTACAAATCTGTTCGAATGTTCGGTTATCCACTTATCCTGTTGTCCCTGTTAATTGTTGATGTATATTATGATGCATTCAGAATTTCAAATCTGTTTATTTGAAATATGAATGAAGTGTGGAAGCTAATCAAGCTATATATTCTATATTCATGTGTTGCCTACTGAGTACTGACTACGGTTATCCAGTTGTCCCTGTTATGTTGTTTGTTGTACATAAGTAACATAACTGCCTTATTATTTTGATGAAGAAGCCTTTTTCAACTCTAGTACTCAAACGAGTACAAAGAGTGAACTGGGTTCTTCAGAGTCTGTAGAGAAGTGAAAAAGCAAAGTGCTTTTATCCTTCTGTAAATCAGCTTGCTGATTGTTCCAGACTTACATATTATGGTTATTATTTGTGAGATATGAACTCTGTGGAAGCTCTTACTGACTGCATATGTACAACTCTTATTCATGTGTTGCGTACTTGCCTTATCTGTGAGGTATGAACTTGTGGAAGCTTAGTATACACATATCAATATATCATGTGTTGCTTACTTGCTTACATTAGATGGACCCTGAAGAATGTGTGACCTTTTCTACATCTGGATCTCAACCTCCTCTGAGTCAAGAAACAGTGGTGGAAAGTCAAATTCCTGAGCCTAACATTACCAATGAGCAGACTGCACCACCTGCTGTTTCTGGACAAAAGAGAAAAGTGGTTGACAAAAGATCTAAGATTTGGGATCACTTTGATGAAATTAAGGATGAAAAGGGTGTGGTTATTAAGGGGAGGTGCATATACTGTGCAAAAATATACTGTTGTCACTCTAAGAAACATGGAACTTCCTCTATCAGAAATCACATGCTTAATTGCATGAAAAACCCCCATGCTAAAGACACTAGACAAGCCCTATTAACCTTCCAGTCTGTACCTCCACAGACAGGTGAACCATCTGGAAAGACTGGGGTCATGGGAACTTGGGTATTTGATCAACAAGCTATTAGGAGAGCTCTAGGTGAAATGCTAATCATTGATGAGCTTCCTTTTAGATTTGTAGACAGACAAGGTTTTAGGAATTTTGTTGCTGCAGCCTGTCCTAGGTTTCAAATTCCTTCTAGATGGAAAATTGCTAGAGACATTTTTCAAATATACCTTGATGAAAAAATGACTCTAAAAAGGAATTTTAGGGAACAAACTCAGAGAGTTAGTATAACTACTAATACATGGACCTCTATTCAGAGGATAAATTACATGTGCATTACTGCTCATTTCATAGATCATCAGTGGAAGCTCCAGAAAAAAATAATTTCCTTATGGCAATAATTTCCTTAGATCCTAGGGACAAGTTTGAGTATATGCCATTTCAGCTAAATGCTTTATATGGTGATAAAAAAGGTGTTGCTTTTTTTCTAAAAGTGAAGTCAGGTCTAACTGAGTTATTTGTTGATTATGTTTCAAGTTACCCTGACTGTGTTGGTGGAAGTTCTAATACAACTTTTACTTCTGGAGCATCTATGGAGTGTGGTAATTCTGAAAATAGGCCTGTGTCCAGGTTTAAGGCTGATCTTAAAAAGAAGAAGCTTGAGAGTGGTCAGGTAGGAGTTAAAAAATCTGAACTTGATATATATTTAGCTGAGTCCATAATTGAGGAAGATGGGGACTTTGATATTCTAAGATGGTGGAAGTTAAATAGTGAAAGGTTTCCTATACTTTCCAAGATGGCTAGGGATGTACTTGGTGTTCCCATTTCCATAGTTGCTTCTGAGTCCACTTTCAGTACAAGTGGTAGGGTTTTGGACTGTTTTAGAAGTTCATTAAGTTGTAAAATTGTGGAAGCCCTTATTTGTGCACAAGATTGGTTGAGATTGGCTCACCAGCCTATCTCAATTGAAGAAAACATCGATGAAGTAGAGAGACTGGAAAAAGGTATAACTTTTATAGTTTTATGTGTTTTCATGTATTATTTGCTTATTATGAATCTTCTTGTTTATATTTCATAATTCTAACAATTCTCTTTGTTTGTTATAGAAATAATGGATGGAAATGTTGGTGGTGGAACTGCTGCTCCTACTGGATCCTCTATTGTGCCATTAAGTGTACATTTTCTATATTTTTATAGGGTTTAGGGTTGGCATTGCTCTTTTAGTTCATAACAAGCATTCTGACTTCTGAGCTATATGACATGTTTGGTTTTTGCCATTATTTGGTTGTTTGGCTATGATGAAGCTTCCACTCATTACTGCATTTAGGGTTTAGGGTTGGTGTTGCTCTTTCAGTTCATAAAATGGTAAGTTGTAACTGAAATTGTAGCAGATGCCCCCTATTTCCCCTTATGAATGATAAAAAGCATTCTGAGCTCTATGAAATGTCTGGTTTGTTTCATTATGTGCTTGATTTTGAATGGTGAAGCTTCCACAGTTCCACTCATTACTGCATATAGGGTGTAGGGTTGGTATTGCACTTTCAGATGCCCCCTATTTCCCTTGTGAATGAAAATAAGCATTTTGAGCTCTATGAAATATCTGGTTTGTTTCATTCTGCCATTATGTGCTTGTTTTTCCAGTTATGATACTCCCATATGCCCATTACTTGATATATATTGGAAATGTTGGAAGCTGTTAAGTATATGTAAATATGTAATACACAGTATAGATGTTTAATACTTCAATGCAAATATATATATTGCATGAACTGTGTACTAATTTAGCTCACTGTCACTGGTATATTTTTGTTGTACATGTGAATCCCTATACATATGTATAATGTATTATGTGCTCATTACATTTGAATGAGTATGATTCTGTCATTCTGGAAAGCATGCACATGCAGCCAACTGTCCCTGGACCCTTGTCCCTTGATCTGATTTTCAGGTTTTGCGTAAGTATCTCATTATCCCATTCATCCTTGATTCTATCATTTATATTACTTTTCATTGGCTATGATGAAGCTTCCACACATTACTGAATGTATGGTTTAGGGTTGGTATAGCTCTTTCAGTTCATAACATCTAAGTTTTGACTGAAATTGTAGCAGTTGCCCCTGTATTCCTTGTGAAGGATAACAAGTATTCTGAGCCACTGATTTTTCTAATTTGTTTCATTAACTTATCCTTGTTATTGTACTACATGTATATTGATTTCCATGTGTTCATTAACTTATCTTTGTTATTGTACATATGCAGGGGGAATCTTGAAGGTGTGGTAAATGGTTGTGGAACTGTGGAAGTGTGGAATTTGAAATGTTCAAGCTATGACCCTGAGTGGACTGCATGAGTGGATGTATTGATTTTGCTTAGTTGTAACTTGGAACTTTGCCACTTTGGAT